AAAAAAAAGTGCGAGAGAGAGGTGCAAAAAAAAGTGCGAGAGAGAGGTGCAAAAAAAAAGTGCGAGAGAGAGGTGCGAGAGAGAGAGGTGTGGGCGGTTCCGCAGTGCAGAAGGGAGGGAAAAACAAAGAAAAGCATCGGGGGCGTCGGGACACGGGGCATCCAGAAGAGGGAGACACAATGGAGGGAGGGACGAGTGGGGATGTGCCCGCGTGGGAAGGGGTACGTACGCGAACGTCAAAGACCGGGGCCGGGCTGACGCCTCCGGCGTCGGCGTGCCAAACACTGAAGCCGCCCAGGGCCGCGCGGCTGATCGCCACAAGCCCGCAAAAGCCCGGCAGAGGGTCCACCGGCGGGGACCCCGGGCCGGAGAGCTGGCCGGCCGCCGGGATCAGGCAGATGGCCGGGGCGCCGACCGGATCCACGCCGGGCACCGTGCGCCAGGAGCCGAGGCGCTCCGGGCCGAGGGCCACGCTGGCCAGGGCAAACCCGCCGGTCGGCCCGGCCAACGCCACGGCCAGGTGGAAGTGCGTGCCATGGGAGCCGGCGGCCGGCACGGCGGCCAGCGCGGTCACCGGGCCCGGCGCCGCCGCCTCAAACAGCAAGGCCGGCCCATCGCCCGGAGACGCCGCCAGGGAGTATAGCAGCAGCCGGCCATCGGCCAGGGCTACCAGCACAACGGGGGGGGCATCTGGCCGACCGGCCAGCAGGGCCAGGTCGACCGGAGGCCCGGGGAGCAGCACGCCTCCAGCCGGCTGGGCATACGTCAGGGGCACCTGCCCGCCGGAGGTGTCCAAGCGCCCCTGCTGCTGGAGCTGTTGGCAGGCGTCGCGCGCGCCGCTGCAATCGAAGAGGCTCAGGAAGTCCTGCATCAGGCCGGGGAGGGCGACGGGGGATTAGCAAAGGCACGGCCTGTCATACAAAGGGGGGGAGGGGGGGGGGGCGGCGACAGCCGGGCGTACTTGGCCATCGCCGGTGCGAGCGAGCGCCACGGCCATCGAGCACTGGGGCCCGGCGCCAAGCCAGCGGACATGGCTCACTCGCTGGGAAATGATCTGCCGGAGGACCGAGTGGGCCAGCATGGCATTCCGAGTAGATGGGGGCGTCTGTAGGTGTGTGTGTGTGTGTATGTAGCGGGGGGGGGAGGAGGGGGGGGGGCTGGGGTGCGTGGCGAGAGAAGGAGGAAGGGGGCACGCGCGCGCGCGGGGCGGGGAAAAGGGGGGGAAAAGGGAGTTGAAGACGGGTGGACGCATCCCACGATCTAGCCGGCGGCACACGTCGACTAAAATGTCCCGCCCGGCTGCGCCCCCGGGTCCGCGGCCCTCCGCCCCCGAGCCAGGGGCGGCCGCGGTTCCAGAAGCTGCCCAGGGCCGCGAGCCGGCGTAGACCCTAGGGAACGTGTCGTCGGGTGTGGGCTCGGGCACCGGGCTCCCGGGAACCCGGCCGGATACACACACACACACGCACACACACACTCTCGCTCTCGCTCTCCATCCGTTCGCCCAAACAAGTGACGACATGGTGCCCGGGTGTGTGTGCGCGCGCGCGCGGGCGTGTCCGTCCACCCCTGCCGCGGGGACGGCCGGCGGGCGGGCGGGCGCCAGACAGCCGGGACGCGTCCTCCGGCGAAGTTGGCCGTCAGGGCGGGACGCTCACACGGACACGCGACCCGGGATCACATGGGGCCTTTGGAGCGCGCTTCTCCAGATTGCACGTTGTGGGCTTTCCGGGCCGCCGCCCCCCCCGGCCTGGTTCGAGCCGGCCACCTCCGCGTCGGCCGTCGGCCCGTCTGTGTGTCGCGGCGCATCGAGCGGTCGGCCTGTGCATTTCCTGCACCTCAGCATCTTCGCCCGCCTATGCTTTCGACGCCCGCCCGCGGCCTTGCGAGGGGGACCCCCGGCTCGGGTCGACACATGGTCCAGTCCGTTGTCTGGTTCTTTCCGGCCGCCCCTCGCCGCACCCACCCCGCGCTCCGGAGTGCACTCACATCAAGGCAGGCTCTCCTCTCTGCTGGGCGGCATGGGGGAGGGGGTGTGTTTATTTGGGGTTTTCTTTCCCGCGTCAGGCTGGGTGGGCGTATTTCTTTGGCGGGGACGCGGGCATGGCTGAGCCCTGTCGATGGTTCCGGCCTCCGGAGTTGGCACCACCACCACATCGGCGTCCCGAGAAGGGGGGGGGGGGCGAAGGCGCGCAGGTGTAGGGCGACGCGGCGGCCCCCTGGTCGGGGAGCCGGGGTCGCCACCACGCCCGCCTGGCAGCGACTCGGCCGGCATGCGGGGAGGATGCAACTGACACAGCGCGCCCAGGCGCCGACCCCCGAGCTGGCGCCGGGGAGGGGGGCCCGTGTGTTCGGGCTTGATTGTGCGCGTGCGAGGGGCCTGCCCCGGAGGAGCGGGCGCGGCGCACAGCGAGGGCACGACGCTCTTCCGATCTGACACAGCGCGCCCAGGCGCCGACCCCCGAGCTGGCGCCGGGGAGGGGGGCCCGTGTGTTCGGGCTTGATTGTGCGCGTGCGAGGGGCCTGCCCCGGAGGAGCGGGCGCGGCGCACAGCGAGGGCCGGAGGAGTGTCGCGCGCGTCTGCATCCCCCCGATCGACATGGCGCCCTGCTGTGCCCTTGCTCCGTCCCGCGCCGACAGTCGGCCGGCCCCGGCACGAGCGGCAACGGCCGCGACGCCGCACGCGGCAGCACCGGGCGCGGCACATGCGGCCGCATGCGCCACATGCCGAGAGAGCGAGAGAGAGCACGCGCGGCTGTCCGCGCGCGCGCGCGCACACAGCCCCCGACACCCTGGGCCGCCCCCTCGGCCGGAGGGCAGGGGCGCGAGATGGAGGCCCCGCGCCCTGGGGCGGGCACATCAGATGCCGCGCAGGTCGTCGCAGCCCATCTGGAAGCGCTCCTGCAGCAGGGCGTCGTAGTTGAACTCGCGCTCCTCGCACAGGACCGGGTAGGTGGTGCGCAGGACATGGGCGATCTGGGCGCGGGAGAAGGCCCGGCGGTCGGAGTGCCTCGGCCAGCCGTACATGCCGCCCATGCCCAGGGCGTCGCCGCCCCGGTGGTCGACCATGTCCAGGGCCGGGGAGTCGTCGTCGAAGCGGCCGCCGGCGCCGCCCCCCTCGCGCCGCGGCGAGTACCCCTCATCGGCCACGACGCCGCCCTGGTTCAGGGGGTTGTAGCGGATGGCGCAGGTGGCCAGCCGGTGGGCCAGGTCCCGCTGCAGGCGCTCGCGGACCTCCTGGTACTCGGGCCGCGTGGCCAGCGAGCCCTCCAGGTCGCCGACCGAGCTGCTCTCCACCAGCCAGCGGAGGACGCGCTCGAGCTCGCAGATCGGAAGAGCACACGTGGGGTTGTAGCGGATGGCGCAGGTGGCCAGCCGGTGGGCCAGGTCCCGCTGCAGGCGCTCGCGGACCTCCTGGTACTCGGGCCGCGTGGCCAGCGAGCCCTCCAGGTCGCCGACCGAGCTGCTCTCCACCAGCCAGCGGAGGACGCGCTCGAGCTCGCCCCAGGGGTTGGCGCGGAGGTCCTCATAGCTGCGAGGTGGTCCCTGTGTCAGTGTGTGGCGGCATATGTCGTGGCGATGTGAGCCTGTGCTTGTGCTATCTCTCCGTCGTTCTTTGGCGTCCGCCCGTGTTCTGCGCCGGGCCCCTGGCCTTGCGCGGTCGCTGTCCCTCTTTCTCTCTTTCTCGCTCTCCCTCTCTCTATCTCTCTCGCTCTCTTGCACTGCCTGATGCCGCTGGCCTTTCGGCGACTGCCTTTGGCCCCACTCCTCGCCCTCGCCCCGACGGCCCCCTGCCGCCTGTCGACACCCCCTGTGGGCGTGCCCGGGGGCGGCGGGACGCACCGGATGAGGATGTACGGCACGCCGCGGTCCTTGAAGGCGGCCCAGTATCTATAGTTCTCCAGCCACAGGCCGGGCTGCTTACGGGCATAGTAGTCCCACTTCTCGGGGCTGTTGGGTTTTTTTTTTTTCGGCCTCGCCTGTTAGGGGGGGGGGGGGGGGGGGGGGTCCGGGCATGTGCGACATGGGGCGGGGCCCCGAGGCGTGGCCCCCTCGTGCCATGGCGGAAGGCTCGAACAGTGCACGCACCGGGCCTTGTCATCGTGGAAGTCATGGGTGCCAGTCTGCTCCAGGTGGTAGTACGACCGGATGGAGTCGAAGGGGTTGCGGATGATGTGGATGACGCGCTCGAAGGGGGCCTCCAGCTCCTGGGCATGGCGGCGGAACATCGGGTCATGGGACTTGACGAACAGCACGGTGTCCGTGTCGACCAGACCCTCGCAGCGCCAGCCGGAGTTCCGCAGCCGATGGTCCTAGCATCGGGGAGGGGGGGGGGGCATCGGCACAAGTGAACGCATGTTAGACATGGGATTCGGCGCTGGGATCGGGTCGCTGGGCCGACGCGGCGGGGGCCGGGGCCAGGGCGGGGGGGGGGGGGGATAGGGCCCTGCTTGCCCGTGGCAGGCCCCTGCTCGCAGGCAGGAGCCCCGGCGGGCGGGAACCCGGCAAGAGGGGGGGGGGAAAAAGGGGACACACTCGGGAAAAGATGCGCACTGCCCCCAATGCCCGGTCGGGCCTCGGCCGGGGCACGAGGGTCGGGGCACCGGCCCCGGGCCTGGGCCAGGGTGGGGCCTTCGCTTTCCGGCTTCCGGCTTCCCTCGCTGCCGCACGCGCAAGCACGCACACACGCAAGCACGCACACACGCACAAATACAGGCGCACACAAACACACGAACGCACAGGTCGGCCACACTGGAGAGGGCCCAGCCCCGCCAGGCCCCGGGGGCCTCGCCGCCCCGAGAGGCCCCGGGCAGGGCGCCCAAGGCCCGCCAGCGTCCATGGCGGCGGAGCGCGAGGGGGGGCAGCCGCCGCGCATGGCATGTATGGCACACACACACACACACACACGCCCGAGCGAGGGGAGGGCGAGGCCGGGCGGGAGGGGGCGGACGCACCGGGCGGTGACGTGAGTGCCTGCGGGGGCGGGCGGCGGAGCAAGGGCGGGGCGGGCCACGAGCCGGCGACTCGAGCCACCCGCCTGCCGGGGGGCGGCAGGGGCGGCACGAGGGGGCGCGAGGTCGGTGGCGGCCGCACCGGGCCGGACCCCACATGCAAGGGCCCCGGCAGTGGGGCTTCCAGGTGTCTAAATCGACACAGGAGCCGAAAGGGCGAGGACGGGAGAGGGGGCACCGGGTGCGGGCGCGTGCGAGCGTGGCCCCGGGCACAAAATCCCCGCCCCTGCCCCGCTGCCATGCTCCCCCCTGCGCTCTGGCCGCCATGCCCCTCCCGGGCCGCCGGGGCCCGGGAGGGGCATCTACTGTGGGTGTGGCTGGCCGGGCGCCCTAGCCCGGGCCCACGAACCAGCGCGACAGAAACAGCAGGAAGACTGCGTAGTAGTACAGCACTGAAAGGATGGACAAGTGGGTCCCCTGCTTGCCGGGGGGGTGCGAGCCGGGGGCGCGGGCGCGGGCCCGGCCCCCGGGGCTGGGCAGCCTGCCAGAACATACATTATACAGGGACCCGGTGCAGACGCCGGTCCACTTTTCGAGCAGCAGTCGCAGGAAGGAGTTCCCGGAGCGCGGGTAGGACCCGATGGCGAAGACGCCCCACTCCTTGGGGAAGTCGACGGCCACCCCGTCGAGGGGCTCGTCGCGTGGCCCGGCTGTGCCGGCCCCCGGGCAGCAGGCCCATATGCCCACAGGCGCGTCAGTGACAGCCGACCGGCTGGCGGGGCATGTGTGCAAGGGCCCGGTCGCGGACGCACCGGCCGCCTGACGGCAGATGTTCTCCCCGTCCAGGCGAATGTCGTTGTTGAACCAGGGCCGACGGACGGCGGTGCCGGGCCCGGGGGCATCCTCATGGTCGGGATCGCCGCCGCCGTCGGCGCCGCCGGCCAAATTCCCCCCGAGGCTGAGGGACACCCGGGCGGAGATCATGCGCGACATCGGGGCGCCCTGGCCCACCCAGAGGACACCGAGGCAGAAGAGGGCCACAAAGCCGAAGGCCAGGAGGGCCAGTAGCGGGATGGACACCCGGCCGCCCCTCCGCACGCCGATCATGGTTGCTGGGCTGAAGGGAGCTCCGGCTGTCAAGCAGGCCGGGCGCGTGCGGGTCCGAGGGCCGGGGAGGGGGGGGTGGGGGCGCGGGGGCGGAGAGCCGGCGGGTGGTCTGTCCATGGAAGCACATGTCAGCGCATGGGCGGGCCTCGAACGCGTGTGTGCTTGTGTGTGCTTGTGTGTGCGTGTGGGTGCGTGTGGGTGCGTGTGCGTGCGTGTGCGTGCGTGTGCGTGCGTGTGCGTGCGTGTGCGTGCGTGTGCGTGCGTGTGCGTGCGTGTATGTGTGTGCGTGTGCGTGTGTGTGTGTGCGTGTATGTGTGTGCGTGTATGTGTGTGCGTGTGCGTGTATGTGTGTGCTTGTGTGTGTGTGTGTGCGTGTGTGTGTGTGTGTGTGCGTGCGTGCGTGCGTGTGTGCTCCCGCACGCGACGGCCGCGAGCTGGCCCGGCACGATGGGCGAACGCACGTACAAGCTTCCAAGCTGCTGAGCGGCGGCGAGGCAGCGGCGGGACGCTGGTGACGGCAAGGAACCGGTCACTGCAGGGCAGGGCGAGCGAGGCGCAGCGCGCAGGAGAAGCGTGTCACGGTGCAGGAAGGGCGAGCAGGAGCAGAGGCGCGGAGGAGAGGGGGAGGGGAAGGAGGCGGGATGGCCGCCGGTGGAGAGTTCTGCCGGAACCGCTGCGCGGGCATGCGCACATCGAGCGAGGGCGTTTTCAGGGGACCGCCCTGGGCTGGCCCCTCGATGGGTCGTCCGGTACCTGCCATCGTTCAGCCGGCCCGGCAAGGTGCGCGTACGCCGAGCCGGGTGTCACCTCGCGCGTACATCGGCACTCAGCCGCCCAGCTGTCGACCGGAATGCACGCGCGCGCGCGCGCACGCACGCACGCACACACATGCCCATGCCTGAGGGACAGGCCTCTGCGCGCTGGGGCCCCGGCAGCCGCAGGGGTTTCACCGGCCGGCCCTCGCGCTTGAACTGTCACTCGGCCGGCTGCCGGGAGGGGGGGAGGGGGGCGCAAGGGGCCAAACCCCGCCGCCGGGCACCGGCGTCTGGCTGCGGCGCCCTGCTTACCCTGCGGCCCCCGGGCCCGGGCCCGGGCCCGGGGCAAGGCCGACCGGCGAGGCGAGCGCGGCCGCCTGCTCCCGGTGCCACCCCCCCCCCCCCCCCCCCCCGCCGCAGCCGGTGACAGACAAATTAATCTCGACCGTGGTGCGCCCGGCCCAGCGGGTGCGCCCACAACGGGCGCTCGCGTCGTCATCCCCTCCGGCCATTTGCAGGCATGGCAGCGTGCAGGTGGAGCGCCAGCCTTCGGCCACTCGGGCATTGGGTCCGGCCAGACCCGGGGCCGGGACATCGGCCTGCACGGGGTGCCGAGCGGGCGGGCCCGGCGGCCGAGCCCCGGCCAATTAAAGTGGGGCGGGGCCCGCGCCGGCCGGCCCGGCACTGCCGCCGGCGGCGGGAGCCGCACTCAGGACGGCAGAGCGGCCCCGTGGACACGCACGCCGGCGCGCCAGCGGCCGGGCCCCGCTCCAGCCGGCGGGCAAATATTTACCCGCCCACCCCCATCCACCACTACCACCACCGCCATGCGATGATGGCGCGCGGGTGACACTCCGGCCATACGGCACCGGGCACTGCGGTGCATGGGAGCTCAGCCCCGGAGACAGCCGGCGCTCTGTCGCGCACACGACCCATGTCGGGCAGAATTGCCCTGTGCCGGCCGGGCGGCCCATCGACCTTGCCGGCTCCCCGCTGGCTCTTTCTCGCGCCTGCGCCGGCCTCAAGGAGGCCGGCCTCCCGACCAGCCCCGCCTGAGCGCATGGCCATGGACGTGGCTGGGCCCGCCGTGCCCGGCGGCGACGGCGACGGGCAGGCGGGGGAGCCCTTCCTCGGCGGGTGGGCCCGCTCGACCACCCGCTGGTGCGGTGATGCGGCGTCCGCTTCGGGCCGGCGGCAATGTCCTCCCCCCGGCGCCCCCTCACTCCCCGGCGCCCTGCCCAGCTACGCGGCCGCTGTCGTCCACCGGGGTAGTAGGGCCAGCATGGGGCCCTGGTATCCACCCATGTGTGTGTGTGTGTGCGCGTGTGCGTGTGAGCACCGTAGCCGCGCCGGCCGCCACTGCCACCGGAGAACGGGGACCCCGCCCGCAGGGGGTGGGGGATGGGTGGCGATCGCGGCGGCCAGCCACGCAGCGAGCCAAGCGGAGCACCTGGCGGGCGCGGCCCGGGCCGTCGAGGCCCCGGCCTGGCGCTCCTCCATACGCGCACGCATGCACACGCACACACAAGCGCACATCGGGAGACCGGCCGGCCGGGCCCCGCTCCGGGGGGGAGGGGGGGGGGGGGCTCGGCTTTCCGGCCGCCCTGGACCCAGGGCCGGGCGCGGATCGGCGCCTGCATTGTGGGCTAGCCAGATGGGCCCCGGGCCGGCTGATTGTTGGCCCCGCACGCGACGGCCTGTCCCCGGTGCCCCCCGCGGCAGTCACTTTTTTTTTTATGCCCGGCATGCCAAGAGAGGCACCCCGGGCCTTGGGGGCCCCTGAGGCGCGCTGCAGCCGGATGATCGCCCCCGCCGGCCGGACCCTGAAGGGGCCGTGATCGGCCGGCCGCGTCATGGGCCGGGGCCGTGCAGGGCCCCGGCAATGGCCCAGCGCCCTGGCCAGGGCCGGATCTCCCGGCCCATGCTCGGGCCGCATTAATAGGGGACTTTAAATGTACGTCCAAGCATGCGTGTGTGTTTTTATATATGTGGCTGTGTGTCTCAATTGAGAGATGGCTGTGCGGGGGCGTGTGCGTGCGTCCGCGCGTCCGTTGTATGTGATGGCACCGCGCATTTGCTCCGGGCCGCCCCCCCCCCCCCCCTGGGGCCAGGGCAATGCCGGCGCGGGGGCAGACGGCGGGGGCGGATGGTGTCAGTTTGGGTGTTGCGCGCACGGGGATGCGCGGGAGCACGTGAGCGCACATGTGCCCGCGGTGTTAACCTGGACATTAACCGAGCGGGCGCGTTCGTCAGGCGTTTTCCCGGCCGGGCCCCCTCCGGCCCCCGGGCCATCTGCACTTGGGAAGAGGGGATGGGCCGGCGGCCTGCCGCTCGGGCCCGCGCCCGGGACAGGGCTCGGTGTGAGAGGGGCTTGGTGGATTTTTTTTTTGAAAGGCACACGGGGGGGGGGGGGGGGGCGCCCACCGCAACTGTGGGGTACATGTGCCGGCTAGTTCGGGTGTGCCCCCCCGATGCCCTGCCCATGGATGCCCTAGATCGACAACCCTGTGGAGGGGAGAGCCATCGGCCTCCTCTTGGGCCGCAGCCCTGGGGCAGGCCGCCCGGCCGCATTGTCTTCTCCCCCCCGCCTCCCGGGGGCCATGGTGTCTGTCATTCTCCCCTCGCAGGTTGCTTCGTGCCACACCTGCTTCCGAGAGCGGCTGTCGGTGGTTCCAGGCGCCGCGGCGCCTCCCTGCCACTGGTGCTCGCCCGGGCCCCACACCGGCCGGCTAGGTCGGCGGCCCCTCGCGCGGTGGCCCCCGGCGTGTGGGGCGCCTCGCATGGCAGCCGGGCCCAGGGGGGGCTGGCCGTTGTGTTGCCGCCGCTGCCGCCGCCGCCGCCGCCGCCGCCGCCGTGGGCCTGGCCCGGGCCGCGTGTCGGGATCGCTCGCCCGGGCCTCTGGCCATGCTGCGTGCTCGCACGTGCCCACCAGGCACCTGCCGCCAGGATGTCCTGCCGCCGCCGCCGCCGCCGCCTGTGCGAAGGGACATCCAGCCCCCGGGGGCCCGGGTGCGGGGCTTCCGATCCCAGGCGCGCGGCTCAGGCACATCATGCAAGTGGTCTTGTTGAAGGGGCCGCGCGGTCGCCCGGCCGGCCGCCCGGTGTATCCCGGCGGTGATCGCCACGCCGACCGGGGGTCTCCGAGAGGGCCGTCGTTGGCGATCCTGTCGCAAACCGTGCCGGGAGTCCTTTCAAGACCCGCATCCGGTGCCTGGTCCGGGGATTTGCCGTACGCACACATGCACTCTTGGGGCCCTTGTTCGGCCCCCCTTCGGACGCCCGTCCATCCGGGACGCACCGGGTGCAGTAGCGTTGGCGACCGGAGGGGCCGAGGGCGTCGCCTTTGTTTGACTGGCTGGATGGCAGTGGGACGTGTCGGTCGCCGCCTGTCCCTCCACGCGCCGGCAGCGCCCGTCGGCTGAACGGGCACCTGCCGCTGCTGTGTGTGGAGGCGGGCCCTGTTCGCGCCCCATCCGGCCTCTCTTCCTTCCTTGTCCGTGGTGCGGCCGGGACACCCGGAGGCCGCGGGAGGACAGCCCCGGCGGCCGGGCTGGCCGGTGGCCTCCACTCCCCCCTGGATGGACCCTCTGCTGGCTTGCGCAGGGGCATGTCCACGCCGATGGTGACATTGTCCATGTGTGCCCTTGCGTTGGGCGGAGGAGGGTTCGGGCGTGCTGCTCGGCCTTCCGCCCCCCCCGCATGCGCACGCGCATGTGCCGGGCCTGCCCTGGCATGCCTTTCCCGGGTGCCGGCTTGCCGTGTGGCATCCTTGGACAAATGTGTGTATGTGTGCGCATTTTGCATCCACATTTGTGCGAATGGGTGCGCCATCCGGCCTTCGCCCGGGGGCGCCTCTTTGCCTGGGCTCGGGACGGCCTGACACCATGTCCGGGCTCGCCGCCGGGCGCCTGACGGCCCCGGAGCCCCCCCGGATCCGGTGATCAGGCTGGGGATGGTTGGTCAGCGCAGGAAAGGCGCCGGGAGGCAGCCGGCAGGCACGAGGCGGAGTCAACAGCATAGAGAGACCGAGTGGGAGGCGGGTTGGACAGGGGAGGGGCCGATGTCAATGTGTATTAGGAGGGGGTGGATGTATTGCAGGCCCCATGGAGGGGGGGGGGAGGGGGGAGGGACAAGCGCCGGGCGTGAGGGGCCTGTGGCTGCCATTCGCCCGGCCGGCGTCCGCTTGTGGGCCCGGCACACATCAGAGGAGGTCCATGAGATTCGGCTGGTTGTTGGCGGCCGGCCGGGACTGCAGCCTCATGGCGCCGCCAGCGGGAGCCGGAGAGGGCGTGGCCGCCGGGGCCGAAAGGGCCGCGGCCCAGATGTCCGGCGCCGGCGACACGCCACTGCTTCCAAAGGCACCGGCTGGCACGGGGCCGGAGAAGGGGTCCGACCCGCCGGTGCCGCCGCTCTCGAGGAAGTTCTCCAAGCCCGCGAGGTCCTTGTTGTCCCAGCCGCCGGGGGCGCCACCGGTGGCAGGTTTCCGAGAGGCGCCCATGGCCAGCCCGGGCGCGGGGCCACCCCCATGGGGCACGTTGTCTGTGTGTGAGTGTGTGTGGGGGGGGGGG